CCTGACATGTATCTAGACAAGCAATAGAAAGTTTCCAAGATTGTACAAAAACTCTGAGAGAGAATCACATTGGGTACAAATGGGGTTTTCCAGTATCCCTGATTATTCAATATAAAAACTCCTCTGTGATGTTACCACTTGTAACAAACTATTTAACCTGGAAAAGTACATTCAGATTACTCTGGTTTTCATGTATGACCTGGGGATGTTACCTTAGCCCAACATCCAAAGTTTGTTACTATTACCCAATTTAATGGTACTCATTTTGGAAGGATGAAGGAATGAGTCAACCCTGTCGGGATTTGAAGCTGCAACCCAAGGGTTGAATAGAGTTTACTGATGCTGCATAAGCCAACTGAGCTATTTCACCATTGTGACAGAACCATCTGCCTGCCTATTGTGGTGGATTCGTCTATTTCTGCCCCCTTTCGTGTAAATGGCTGTTTCTATAGCCCAGCCATACGAATGACTGTTTTTTCCCGAACAAACCTACCGAATTGACGGCCACCCAAGAGAGAAGTGTGCTGCTGGTTAACCTATTGATCCCAATTAGAACGTTGTGGTTAACCACAGACACTTCTCAATTAAACGAATTCAGGGTGGTCGTCGTTCGTATGTCGACCACGAGGAAGCGGGCATTTTAAACCACGCGAAAGCCCAGCGGTGTTTGGCTCTATTTCTATGGAACTAAAAACGGACACTTTTTCTGCCGAACACCGCTGAAACAACGGAACGCCTGGCTGCCTCCACGAAAGCATACGAATACCGGCCGTTCGGAAGGTTTGAAGCATACGAAAGGACTTAACCCAGATAGCCTTGCCATGGAGTCATTCGTATACCGAAGGACTGTAAGAACTTTGACTCCATGGCGATTGAACTAGGTGTGTGGGATCTGAGCGCTATTTGCTAATAATATGCACTCAGATCCAGGCTATCTGGGGATATGTGATACAAATGGGAAATGTTCAGTTATTTTAACGTTATGTATTTTTATGTCTTTTATGATTTTATATTTAAAATGGCGACAATTGAGATAATTGAGTTACTTGGTAATTATCTCCAGGGCAGAGGGGAGGGAATCATAGTGCATTGTGGGTAAAAACTGTGTCTATGTGTCTGGAATGTCCCCATATCTGTCTGTCATTTAAGTCTCCCATTTGGTCCCCTAGGGGAGTGTCCACCAAGTGGGAGACCTGCATAAATACGGGCAGGTAGCCCACAGTAAAGCCAGATCCTGTTTGACCCTCAATGCAGAGCTTCTGTCTCGTTATTGGGGGGATTTCTTCTTCACATTTAGAGACTGCTGGATGGAAACGAAAGCCGCTTGGTGGATGTTATTGTTCGGCGACTAGCAGCAGTTCGTGTATTGCCGTTCGGGAGGTTGGAGCCTTTCACAGATCCCGGTCGGGAGATTACCGCTTCCCCTGCATTTGGTTCGTGCACTACAGGTTATGCGAACAGAGCTTATTGATATTACAGACGGGGAAGGTCGACTAAATGGCGGTTTTGCTTAAAGACACTGGGGGTTTCTTAACAACCATCATATGGGTTTATGTAAAGATATTTATGAAAAGTATAGATCAACCTATAGATAAAAATTTGAATGAATCTCCTCTATCCATTGCTTAAAATAATAATAATAATAATAATAATAATAATATATTCAAAGTACCTTTGCAACTGGTTTTGAAGGGATCTGTTTGCCAGCCTACTACCCTGTGACTATGGCCCCTGCAATAGACCTGGCTAAAATACTGTAAACAGGCTCTGTTCGTGCAATTGGGAATATCTGGTTTGTTTACCGAACAACCGCATGAACCAGAGACCACCTTGGAGCTTGTTAACACCTATTAACAACTTGGAACATGTTCTAATTATTCATCTGGGTGCCCACAATTTCTATGGACAACCACGAGGTGGTGGCCATCTTGTTCGCATGAATGCAGGCAGCGGTGTTTGGGCATTAATCTCATGGAACTAAAATCGGATACAGAAACTCCTGAACACCGCCGGACTTCCATCATCGCCTGCGTTCGGTTCTATACTACTTAGAAGGGCACTGTTCGGTGGGATCATTCGTCTGGATGAAGGTAACAAGCTCCAGGGTAAGACTATTGACTCTGTTCGGTAGTTGGTTTGTTTCAAACTACCGAAATAGACTGACCGCAAGCCCTGATTCTCTGGAACTGTTTTGGGCATGGGACCATGCCTGTGGTCGGTCAAATAAATGACTTCCATAAAATTCCTGAACCCCTGAACTGATCTGGGTGATTTTTGGATATGTTGGTCACTGACATCAGGGCTATCAGGGGATGTGACATTTGTGGATATATTATGTGTTTTGGGGTACTTTTGGGACTGCGTGTATAGAAATGTGTGTTTTTTCTGCCTGGAGATAATTGGGTTAATACAGTATCTAACTGGGGGAGGAGGGGTAGTCAGCACTAAATAACAGAATGATAAGCAGCAATGCAAAATGGCAGATTAAATTTAACATAGAGAAATGCAAAGTTATGAACTTCGGGGTTAAGAATGCACAAGCAACTTACACACTAAATGGTAGTGAATTAGGGATAACCACACACGAGAAGGATTTGGGAATTGTTATAGACAACAAATTAGGCAGCAATATGCAATGTCAATCTGCAGTTGCTAAGGCCAGTAAGATTTTGTCATGTATAAATAGGGGCATAAATTCTCGGGATGAAAATACAATTTTGCCTCTTTATAAATCGCTGGTAAGACCACACCTTGAATATGCTGTGCAATTTTGGGCGCCTGTTCTAAAGAAGGATATCATGGCACTGGAGAGGGTCCAGAGACGAGCTACAAAATTGATAAAAGGAATGGAGCATTTTAGTTATGAAGAAAGGTTAAAAAATTAAATCTGTTTAGTTTGGAAAAACGGCGCCTGAGAGGGGATATGATAACTTTATACAAATATATTCGGGGCCAGTACAAACCTTTATCTGGAAATCTATTCATAAACAGGGCTATACATAGGACACAAGGTCACACATTTAGGTTGGAAGAAAGGAGATTTCATCTAAGGCAAAGAAAAGGTTTTTTTACAGTAAGAACAATAAGGATATGGAATTCTCTGCCTGAAGAGGTGGTTTTGTCAGAGTCCATACAGATGTTTAAACTGAAATTGTATAAATACTTACAAAAACATAACATACAGGGATATCATTTCTAATTAGTGGGGTAATAGCTGCTTGATCCAAGGAGACATCTGACTGCTATTTTGGGGACAAGAAGGATTTATTTCCTAGTTTGTGGCAAAATTGGAAGCGCTTCGAACCAGCTTTTTTGCCTTCTTTTGGATCAACAGCAACAACATTTGTGAGGAAGGTTGAACTTGATGGACGCAAGTCTCTTTTCAGCTATGTAACTATGTAACCAAATGGTCTAAATGGATAAACAACAAGTAGGACTATATAGATGATAAAATGTCTCACTTAAGACAACAGAATAAAAATAAAGGAAAGTCTGTCCGGATAATAAAATATATTGAATGTGAAGGTTGATAAAAAGTCATATAAAAGTCTCACTGATATATCTGGATAAGGTACAGTCCTCAGGAGTTGATCCGTCCGGTAGACATGTGCAAATCGTTTCAGTCCGAATATGAATTTGGACGGATTTCTGGCAATTCGGACATTCAGGTACTTAGCCAGTCAGTGTAATGACAGGAATGAATAAGTAGATAACTCCCTAATTCCCACGGTATTAGGGAGCTGTCTACTAAAAGGCTGAAAGATCTAAATTGGTCTTTCAGCAAAATGTACTAATACTAAGTAAAGATTACTTAGTATTTGTAAATTAAGTCCTTAATCGCTATACCACGAGTAGGGGCATGTCTATTAAACAGTGAGCAGGCAGCCACAGGCTGCTCACTGTATACTAGACATGCCCCTACTCGCGGTATTGCGAGTAGGGGCAAAATTTACTAATACTAAGTAATTTTTACTTAATACTAGTACATTTAGCTGAAAGACCAATTTAGGTCTTGCAGCCTTTTGGTAGATAACTCCCTAATACCGTGGGAGTTAGGGAGTTATCTACCAAACGGCTGCAAAAGAAGTGCCGAAGTCCCGAAAAGCCGAAGTTCCGAAGTGTTGAAGTGCCGAATTGTCGAAGTCCTGAATTTCGAAAGGGTTTTGGTGCCCAATGTGTTGAAGGCAATAGCGCTGTGTACCCCGATCCTAGGGCCTGTAGCCAAGCTGACCTGATTTAGGGACCCCTCTGACTGACCCTGGTGGCCCCGGAGCGGTTCTCCCCCTTTACCTAGAACCAGGTTTCAACCTAGTTATTACTGATTGTTCACTACAAATGCTGTCGGTCGGGGTGGGGAATCCGAGAGTACTTGGGACATACCCCCTTTGACTGGTAATTTACACTTGAGCGAACTAGCTCACTCACTCGCGCTGACACCGTGCACGACCCCTCAGGTCTGACTGCGGGCACTAACGGTAAGGGACATGGGGGCTGAGTCACATATTGGGGTGGGGACTCCCCTCTGACAGGTATTTCTTCCCACACGGTCAAGGTCCTCTTTTTATTACCCTACAGGCCAAGGGCGACTTGCAGACAGACTACCTGGACTGGTTCACTCCCCCCGCCCCCTACCTTCTACAGGTTGGAACCACCCTCACGCCCACTGCAGCCCCCCCCCCTTCACCTTCCCCACCCCTTGCTGGGAACCCGATGGCTCGGTCGGGTGGCGGGGGGTTCTGCCCTGCTCCTCTACGCCTCTGGACCAATAATGTCAGGGGGATAAATTCCCCAGAGCGATGCTCACACATGCTGCGGACCCTGTGGGCCGCTAGGGCTTCGGTGGCATTCCTGCAAGAGATCCACTTTAAAAGGCCGAACCCGCCAGCCCTACGAGACTCAAGATTTCCAACCGGGTTTTTTTCGCCAACCATCCGGAATCCAAACGAGCCGGAGTGGCGATACTCATCGCCCGACATACACAGTTCCACTGTGCTGAGCAGATGGCTGACCCAAACGGACGCTACGTGTTCCTTAAAGGCACAATTGCAGATAGGAACTACACATTTGCATCCCCATATGCCCCAAATACGAACCAACACCGCTTCATTGCAAGAACTCTGAAGATGCTGGACCGCTTTCGGGAGGGGCTCCTCGTGGTGGCGGGGGACCTCAATGTTCCATTGGAGCTCCGCTGGGACACGTCCAAGGGTCATTCCGCACACTCTGACACCTGCCGGAGGGTCACCAAAGACGCGCTCCATGAAGCAGGCCTGGCAGACACCCGGCGGGTCCTCCATCCAGAGGAAAAGGACTTCTCCTATTACTCCACGGCCCACCGAGGGTACAGTTGCCTCGATCATGTCCTCGTATCCCAGGAATATCTTCATCTCCTCTAAAATGGTGATATCCAAACGACAGTCTGGACGGACCACTCCCCGATCCTGGCCACGATCCGCTCCCCCTTATTCAAACCCAGCGGCAAACAATGGAGGCTTAATGAGCAGGGGACTCACTGGTTGTCGCAGAAACGCCATCCGTATTACGCCAATATTTTGAAACCAACACCACTCCGGACGTCTCACCATTGATGAGATGGGAAGCGCATAAATGTGTAATCCGAGGCCATTTTATCAAACTCTGCACCACGCGTAAAAAGGAATACCACAGACGACTGGCGGATCTATACGCACGTACCGCGCAACTAGAGCGGGAAGATAGGGTGGCCCCGATGGAAGACGCCTACCGGGCACTACTGGAAGCACGTAGGGACCTGAAGAAGCTCCTCACGCAACAATTGACCCAAACGCTATGCAAATCGCGCAGGTACATCTACGAACACTCTAACAAGTGCGGCCGCATGTTGGCCAAAATGCTACAAAAGAAGCGGAGACTAACACAGATTACCACGCTCCGGACGCAGGGAGGCGCCCTCACGAGACTACCAGATCAAAGTGTCGCAGAATTCCAGGACTTCTACACTAAGCTATATAACCTCCCGGCCAAGGGGGGGATGGAAGCGAACCAGGCGTGGTTAACAGAGATGAGGGAATATTTGGAACAACATGTGCACCGGAAGCTCTCACAGTCCCAAAAAGAGGACCTAGAATCCCCGATCACGCTAGGTGAGCTCCTGGGAGCCCTTAAGGCCACTAAGATCAATAAGGCACCGGGCCTAGATGGCCTCCCAGCTAGATACCTTACGAATTTTAGGGAGATCCTCATGCCCAAACTCTTAACAGGGCTAAACTCCATTCTGCGAGGGGGGAGGTTCCCGGGGGATACCCTCATGGTGACGGTGGCGGTCATCTCGAAAGAGGGGAAGGATCCTACTGTGTGCACTAGCTACAGACCCAGCTCCCTCCTCAACGCGGACCTAAAGCTTTTTACTAAGATTCTGGCTCTTCGGGTGGGCCATGTTGCGGCGAACATGGTGCATCTGGACCAGACGGGCTTCATCCCGGGCCGGGAGGCCAAGGATAACACAGTTCGAGCCCTCAACATCATTCACGCCACCCGGAACACCGCCTGCGGTAGCCTCCTCCTCTCAACCGACGCCGAAAAGGCGTTTGACCGGGTGGACTGGCAACTCATGAGCGAGACCCTGTGGGCCATGGGCTTTGGCCCACACATGTTGCTGTGGATAACGGCCCTGTATGCAGCTCGCTTGCGGATCAATGGTGCCCTGTCCCCGTCATTCGTTATACGGAACGGTACAAGGCAAGGGTGTCCCCTGATGCAATCAGGCGGGACAGGAATGTTGCAGGAGTCGAGATAGGCGTCATAAAACACAAGGTCGCAGCTTACGCTGACTACCTACTCTTCTTCATTGAGAACCCAATGATCACCCTGCCGAACCTCCTCAGTGCATTTAAGACCTACGGAAAGCTTTCGAATTTGAAACTAAACACAGATAAGCCTGAAGCACTCTCTCTACGCCTGCCCTCCGGCCTGCTGCCCCAACTACAAGCGAACTTCCCCTTCAAGTGGTGCCCTCATGGTATTAAATACCTAGGGATTTGGCTGACGAGGGACCTGAGTGAACTCTACCAAGATAACTTTTTGCCACTACAAACAACACTACGCTCTGATATGCTCAGGTGGGGAGCATCATGTGTATCGTGGTTTGGCAGAATCAATGCCATCAAAATGAACCTTTTACCGCGACTCTTGTACCTCTTTCAGACTATCCCAATTAGAATCCCCCAGGCTTTCTTTAAAGCCATGAATACGGACATTCGAAGATTCGTATGGAGGGCTGGGACAGCCAGACTTAAGCGCACACAGCTGATCCAGCCAAAACAACTGGGCGGGGTGGGTCTCCCGGATCTGCAGTCCTACTACTTTGCCGCTCACCTCCTCCGAATAGTCGACTGGCACGCCCCCCATACAGCCAAGCACTGGGTCCACCTGGAGCGTACGCAAGCCCTAGGACGACTCCCGTTAGTAACGTGACTCCCCCACTCCCTACAGACTAGAGACATCCATGAGCACCCGCTGGTTGGGGCAACACTGCGAGTATGGTCGAACCTACGATATAAATTGAACCTCTCCACCAACCCGCCCTCCCAACACCAGTGGTCTATAACCCGGAGATAGTGAGAGATCTGACGCCAAAAGATGTGGAGGGCCTGGGAAACACAGACGGGTTGCATTTGAGAGACTGGTGCATGAAAGGCCAGGTCTCCCCCCTGGAGACTTTGCTGACACAAGCTCAGGCTAGAGGGGCTGCTACGATTCCGGTACCACCAGATTCGACACTCATGCCGCACAATACCTGGCTCGCAGCTCATACACAGGGACTTGACATACTTTGAGTCCTTGTGCACTGGGGGGTTGCATCTGCCCCGGGGCATCTCGGCCCTCTACGCCAACCTGATCAGGGCAACTCGGCGGCCGCCGGCCCCCTTCCAGTCACAGTGGGAGCAAGCTGCGGGGACCATTCTGATGGACGCCGAATGGGAGAAGATCCATGCTCTGACACACCAGGGAACAGTTAACACCAAAATTCAGGAGCTTAATTACAAGCTCCTGACCTGCTGGTATAGGACGCCCGCCAGAATATGCCGCATGGGCCTCACACCTTCAGCCCAATGCTGGAGATGTGGGACAGCGGATGGTACTGACTTGCACATTTGGTGGACGTGCCCACCCATAGCAACCTTCTGGCAACAAATGCATGGAAAACTGAGGGAGATCTTGGATTCGGATGTTCCGCTGCAGCCCCTCCCGATGTTGCTCCATCACACTGGGATGCCACTTGTCAGATACAAAAAGTCCTTAACAAAACACTTCCTGAACGCGGCTAAGAGCCTGATTCCTACCAAATGGAAATCGCAGCTGGTGCCGATGGTGTCGGAGTGGACAGAGAAGATGGAAGAAATCTTTAACATGGAAACCTCACGGCAGACCTACATGGCACAGGAGAGCAGTGCTCGCGACTATGGGGCCCCTGGATTGACTACATGGCACGTAGGTCTTCAGGTTCTGAAACGAACGCTGCACACCCCGAGTCGCATGCCACAGGCCACAGGCCCTGCTCTTGACCGAGCTCCTTTGCCCTCCCCCCTTCTTCTCCCCTCTGCCCCCACCCCTACCCTTCCATCACTGGCCTCTGCACGCTCTCCGCCATGAATAGGTAATTGCCCCCTGACCCTCCATGGGAAAGACGGATATACAGGGTGCAACCGGCTCCTCCCCCTCCCCACCTTCGGACAACGAGACGGGAGACTGGATAGGGAGGCGGACCAACTGGGGACGGGCCCTCAGACCACCTCGCTGGCCATGCTCTTCTCGAGCGAGATACGGCATGCAGGTGTACACACACTAGTACAATCGCCCTCAGAACCCTGGAACAGGGACAGACTGTCACACTACCCATACAAGACGCACTCTACATCTCACTCCATGACATAACCAAAGGGATGACGATGAGACCGTCTGCAAAACCATACCCCCAGATAGACTCGAGGGCACACACCAAATCTGGCACCTAACCCTGAGCTGGAACCCCGCACGCTGGACCTGCTGGGGCCCGCGGATCCACTTAAGACTCCCCCCCCAATGCATGCCCTATATATGCACCCACAGGGCTCATAAATGGTACCATGGGTCCTGTTAGCCCTGCTGGAACGTACCTGATAAACGCCCGATGCCAGACCTTGACCGGGTTCAGTCCTGTAATACAGGTCCGACAGACTACCTTACCTCTCATGGTCTACACTGAGTAAGTGTGAGACTCAAACTCACCAGTGGGCCAACGGGGATGCTTCCTCAGCACATTAGATAGACGATCGGACGTGAGTGGCCAACAAGTTTACTGAGATACACAGCTAGACTTTTAGTGGTCTTAAACTCCAGTTGCAACGTATTAAATGTTTCCCGACAACTCTCGGTTAAGGAATTTTAATTGAGGCCATAGTTATTTCCCTGCTAAAACACTACGAGTAGGAAAATAGCCACCCATAGGAAGGGCAGCGTACAAAAAAAAGTCACTAGACAACCACCATCACACCAAGCAGCCCTGTCGGTAACTAAGTCGGTCTCTGTGTGAGTTTAGCCACACCTCTTCGCCACCCAATAGCGCAACGTATGAACACTGATCTATAGCAGTTGACAATTCTGTTCGAATGCAAATTCTTAGTGCCTACTTGTATCTCCCCATGGTTTGACTGTGAACATCAGTGTACAGCTCTTGGTGTTGTAATATCGCAATAACTTTCTTTGTTATCGTTGTGATGAACCTCTGCTTACTAACCTGTATGTACAACGTAAAATGAAAAATAAAGATTGTCAAAAAAAAAGAATCAGCCAATAGAAAACAGATAATTAAAAAACATATTTAAAACATATTTAAATCAAATAATACAAATACAGCTTAATATGGACAGATATGGACTAAGTGATATAATTATATACAGTGGGACCTCGCCTTACGAAAGTAATGCGTTCTCTGGGACATAATAATTATAATAATAAGAAGTAAAAGTGAAATAAAATAAAATAGAAATGAAGATAAGAGTAAAAATGGATAAAAATGTGGATAAGTAAAGAATTAAAAATAAATATGCATAAAAATATAAATAAAGATAAAAATTGGAAACCAACACCTACTCTAACCGCAATCCCTGAATATTCTAGGTGGTAGGCTGGGTGGCTGCCATTTGTATGGACTAACACGAGGTGAGGGCCATCTTGTTTTGCCGAATGCTTCCAGCAGGGTTTGGTCTTCGAGTGCATAGAACACACAAACACTCCCCTCCCCCCCCCCCTTGCGAGGACCTCACAATCACATGGCCGGGATAGCTGGCTGCAGCATTGCCAGCAGGGGGGCTGCCTGTAATGACAGGTGGTCCCCCTGCTGGCTGAAAATAAAATCAAATAAATTAAAAAGTGTAAA